GCTGCCCTGGTTTTTGTTGTGGAGCAGCATCTAGACTTTAGTGGGCAGGGGGCGTGGCGCTTTTCTTTCAGAAGTATTATTCGGAAGTATGTGTTGAGCTTGCCCAAACAATTCATTGTATATGCCAAACGCGCTTTCAAATGTGTCCACGATTTTGAATAAAGATTAATTGCATGGAGCTTCTTTGAACCGAATCGGCCCACACAAGTTGTTCTATGTCCTCAGCGCTAGTGTAGCTAGGGCTAGAATAAAGCAAATCTAATTGTGTGGTGTTGTAGCTCCGAAATTTTTGCTTCGCCCACAAGAATATAACACATTGACGACATTGGGACGCGGTAACGCGTCTCACTTTGCGCACCTCGTTGGACATTGAGACGCGGTTGCGCGTCTCACCCTTGTCATCCCTTTTCTAGCGTATGCGGGGATTCTTCCCAATTTGCTTGCCTCTATTCTATGGATTACAACATAACATAACTGTAAACGACATGGGTCACGGTATGATCAAATATGCTCCAGTTTAGCAGAAGTTTTTTAAGCACAGCGGAATTGGCAGCTCGGTTCATCCCTCGTTTTCTTCCTATTCTGATGAACATGTCAGTGAGAAAAGGTAGTGAAAGTAAATACAAACTTAAAAGGATAGAAAGATATGTGTTCACTTGACACATCCACATCGAAAATAGTTTTGGCATCCACTACAGAGAAAAGGACTTGAATTCCAATTTTCTTTACCATTTCACGTTTTTGATCGGAATTTCGCTACTATATCTTCGATTACTTTCTACGCATTGAATATTGCTGAAATGGTTTCGTACCTTTAAAGCTTCCCAAGGTTATCGTTCGAAATTCACGGGTGTAGAGGTTGACAATGCTCGCTCGTAAAAGCGCCCTGTCCCCGCGTACAAAAACCAACACAACAGGGACTCAGAGGGTTAAACCACATGGCAGAGGTCCTGTAAGCAGGGTCAACCGTTACGTTGGACCGATATTGGAGCGACGTTGGACCGATGTTGACCGCTCTCCGCGCCGGCATTCACTCTCGCCACCCGCGAGCCGTCTGTGTCTCCGTGCGTACGTTCACTCTCGGCATTACTCTCGTCGTCGCGTTGGACTTTGTCCAACGGACGGTTGACCCTGTGTATGAGTATCTAGTAATAGGTAATAGGCTAAATTATGGACTGCAGTAAAACTGAGGTAAGGATTCGAAGGATTCAACCGCTTTTGAGAGTTTTTGCGCCACGCTTTTATTGTTATAAATCCCTTTTAGTTGGTATTGAAGGCTAATTTAGCTAATGAAAGTCGCAAAGATTAGCCGATGTACATCCGTGTTTTCACTCAGATGAAGATCTATCTCCAGACTAATCCTTGTGAGAATGTTCGTTGGCTTACGCGATGACCTATCTGAATTCTAATCTCGGAGCGCAGGCAAAATGATGACGCTCGCTGAGATATTAAGTCAAAAATCGTTAAAAATAGTACATAGAAAATATCGTGAAAATAGGACCTCGAAAAAACCGAACTGTCTAACTGGGAAGTATGCCAGCTGGGCAGTCAGTGTAAGCTCGCAGCAAGAGTCGTGTGTCCAGCGGTGTTTCTAGTTTAAGGAGGGGGGGGGGGGACCGAGTTTCTCTGAGCAAGCACTTGAAGATTCCGAATCTGATCTCGGGTAGTTGGTCATGTAATAATAGTCCAGTGAAAAGATATAGAATTAGCAAAGACAATTCTTTCGTAGCCTTTGAATGGACTTGCCTAGGGAGTCTCTCACAAAGCCGAGCCTCTTGCCGAAGGGATAAGTCTAGTCGGCCGACAGAAAACTTTCATGGACGCTACCCAAGAACCGGGTCCTTTTACTGCTAGTCTTCATATGTTTATCTGAGCAATGTAGTGAATAACTAGAAGGAAAACGGAAAACGAACATCGATAATAAATAATTACTAATAATAAGTACAGATAAGTATAGTATATTATGTGTAAATGTTGATATTAAGAATTTATATACGAGTAATCATGATTATAATAAAATAAGTGATGCCTTTTGTAGAAATAAGAACTCTGAAAAAGGATTTGCATTTGAATAAGATCGAGGCAGTGCAATGGGAACCATCACTGTGGTCGAATCAGTCGTTTGAGGCTATACTTCCCTCACCACTTCCGAAGGTAACTTTACCCAGAGCTGACTAAATTTGTCGAGATCTCCATGGCAAACGCGCTACTTATTGAGATTCCCTCTGAAGCCTAGAATATTTTGAAAATTTTTGTAATTGGTATAAATGCCTAGCGAGGTGTGGCGAACTGCCAGCGACAGAGGAATTGTTCGTCGAGAGCTGGTGACAGATTGCAGCGCAGCAAACAGAACAGCGCTGTGGCTGGAAGCGAACAACTGAACGAAGAGGAGAGCAGAGTCAACAGCCGAATGGCTTCCAGACATCTACACGCCTCCCTCGCCTCTCCACTCATAAAGATCTCGTGGACATTCGCTCTCGTGAAAAAGTACATTGTACAACTGCCGTGCACTCACCGAATTCCTTACCACCACAAAAACAACGATACTAACACAAAGTGATGAGTTCGGAATAATATTGACAACAAGGAAAAATCGAAAAAATCGCGAAGAAATCGCTTTCATATCATTCAAAACGATGAGTGATTTTCATCGATAAAATTGAGTATCTGGACAGATCGCCTTTCTGTATTGATACGTCCGAAAGAAATGTCGTTTTCCTTAGAACCGAAGTTTACGATCACAAGATAGCCCATTAGTATCAAGGTAGAGGTGGTCAGTGGAGCCGGGATAGGGAAGAAACCACGAAAAACGCCCAGAACCCGAGAAATGGGACCCCTTCCTTGCCCGTTGATTTGCGCATCGAACTCTCATCGGTGCTGCCCTCTTCAACGCTACGCTCTCTCTCTGTCCCTGAAACGGCTAGACGGTCAGATAGCGGTGAGACGAGGTGGGGGAGGGGGGGTGTCGCGCCGATACCGGCAGGATAGGGACGGAATAGAAACGGCCATGCTGGATCGCTAGGGCTATATCCTCCGCTGCGAGTTGCTTGTCGGTCCCTACTCTTCGAGGGTTCGTCGTGCTTCTTACTAGGTAATTTTTCCCCTCTTTGATCTTATCGTGAAGTCCTCCTTTAAATAAGAAATGGGAGCCAAAAAAGTCAGAAAGCCAGAAAGCCATTTATCGGCTCTACAAACTAGCTTACTTCCTTTTGACACACGCTGCGAAAATTTTGAATTATTATATTAAGATTGGGTGGTTCAAGAAGCCGTACGATGTTTCTTATCGAATTTGGTTTCTGTGGTTGACCGCTGAGCCATGTTGCTTTTCTGAACCAGGATTCTTCCTCACGGACTTGATGTTTCCATTCATCTCGATATACTGTTCGGGAAGAGTTTTCTGTTCTATATGAATGTATATTTCTCTATTATTTTCATTGTCAATAAATTCGAATTCTAAGCTCAGGTAGTTTGGCGCGAAGTCGACCAAGCTAACCGCTTTACTTCGAAATTATTTTTGTGAAAAGATGAAAAAGTCCGTGCTTACATATAACTTCTCGTAAGCCTTCCACCTGTTTTTTGAACTCCTTAGCTGGGAATATTTTTAGGTCTAATCCGAATAAAGAACAGGGCAGTAACCAAGTTCTGAAAGGGACCCAAAATCATGTACTAGAGCCTTCTGGAGTGCAAAATGTGAAGAGGCTGGTTGTACTCGAAGAGCTGAAGGGTGCTCGAACATTATTCACTTCCGAATCACTGCGCATGAGACTTAGCGAGCTGCCGCACGACCGTATCCATGGACTCAACTTTGCTATGAAAACTGCCTAAGACGTTATCTTAGGTGAATTCCAATAAAAAAAAGTGTGGCACCGGTGGGGCCCTTCCCACTACCTGTACTTATAAATTGTGCACTCGCAAAAGAGGAACGAAGAAAGATCGGAGCGGTTCTCTTCAGCCCCCTACTGACCAACAGCGATCAGCGCACATGCTACTATCCACCTATGGCTTGGAACTATGGCTGTGCATATTCCACGATCTGCTGAACAAATGGTTCAATAGAACTTCTAAATCCTGATCCGACGCTGTCAAGGTGGAAACAGCGACAGACTCAAACATAGCGATAACTTCCATTATTCAAAGGTAGCTGGAGTCGATTAAGATTCCGGGGCCTGGGCTTGCAACAGAATGCAGGGTAATTATGACGCCGAAAAAACACGCCTATTCCCTGGCTCTCTCCCTGAAGCCAGACAGTGCTTTTGGAAGCTCAAGGTACTGAGAACACTTACGTACAAATGGAACGTGAGGAATACATCGATCCTTCGGTCATCGATAATCAACCCACAGAATGTTCGAAAACAGTGCAATAAACTCTCACAGTTAACACCTCAAAATATCCCGGCTATAAAAGCGCACAAAGCTACTGAGCTCATTTCTCCGTGACCCCTAATGACCAAATGGAAGTCACTGATGAAAAGGCGATTGTAAATTCAATGTTGGAAATTACGGTAGAGTCATGTTCTTTAAGCACGATAAGCAAAGGAGCCGAAAAAATTGGCCCTTCTGACCCCGAGAAGTAAAACGAGACACATACCTTAACCCCTCGTTTCCGCTGCTGATCCTCTCATAAGTGCTTCTCTCTTCAACGCTAGCGCTATCTTTCGCTAATCAGGCTATGAGACTCAGACAAGACGACGCAGAAGGGTGTTCTTCGTGAGTAGCTCGGCCATTGCCGGCACGGCAAGGCTGTGCCTACAGTCGTGCAAGGGCATTATACTTCAATGCTGAGTCGTCCGCCTAACCTACTCTACCAGGTGAAGTTCCCCTTTTTTCCGACTTATCGCCCTTGTCGTTGCGATCCCCTACTTTGATCGTTCCCTCCTAATCGCCTAGTTGTTGGTCGGTTCCGAGCAAACGCCTATCTATACCAAGATTTACGACATTTACATCAAGCGGTTATGTGGGCATGATCACCGCACAATCACAAGTCTTTATGGTCTCTGGCGCGTCGACAGCGAATCGAACCCTGGCCACTCGGCCTGGCAGTGCGAGCATTCTTACACTGAACCACCGCACATGTGAGTGTCTTGGAGCGCGCCACGGGGACAGCGAACTCGGCGCAAGTAAAGCCGCTTCCTTCCAATTTTTTGCCACGTCTAATACGTATATTTGTCATCCGAAAAGATTAGAACAAGGCAATAAACTGACAGCGGGGTCTGTCTTGGAAATAATGTCGTGGTGCAAAAGAATTACGAGAAAGTCGGAACTGCTTGTGCATCACTCTGGAATGCAACGGGTGGAGGTGGTACTTGAGAGCCCGAACAAGATACCCTATCTGATCCTGTTCTCTTACTCTGCAAGTACACCTAGTGGTATCTGACGGCTAGTTCTGCTAGCAGCTGCAGCTCATCCCGCAATGACGGGCAAATTTTGGCCTGGTCTCGTGTCCTTTACCAGCTTGCCGTTCCAGGCACATGACGCATCAGTAGCCCGGGTTCGTCAGTCATTATCTGCATACAATGGGGCCACGCGTCCTAATGGAAACATAAGGTTCGTTCGGGACAGCATCAGACGTTCAATGGGATGTGCCCTGATACAGTCTACATTCAACACTCGTTGATTCGGAGCACACAAAACTCAGAGGTTTTGCCGCAGCGGCTTGACGTATGTACACTTGTATCACATCCAGGTATTCGTAAGACAAACAACGTAAAAGAAGGGCAGCACCAAACGATGAGGACATACACCAAGGATTGAAGTGACACTAACGAACGTTGACCATTTTACTCGACATTGTTGCCCTGCCAGATTTCACCCACTACTTCATAACGGACATGCTCATCCCTGACAGCCAAGAAAAGGCTCATCCGGATAGACTGTGGTAGGATTTATTCGTGAGGGGTCGGTGGCACGTTAGGGGCCCTGTGGTCGGCCAACTGCACGCCTAGGTTACGGTGTCCGAAATGTTCGCCGTCCTTAACTTTCGTTCTTGTTCGACCCATTCTAGAAAGTCTTAACAGTACATTATTTGTGGGCTGGAAGGTACCGCTCATTGACAAACGAACGTGAGATGTCGGTCAGACTCTGCGATTGCATCGCGCGATTGGCATCGCTCCAAAGTGCGAGCGACGGGAGATTTACCCGAGCGGCGCCGTGTGTATCGGTCGTCGGCGGGGTAAATCTCCCGTCGCTCGCACTTTGGAGCGATGCCAATCGCTCTAGGCAGAGCGACTGCATCGCGCGATGCAATCGCAGAGTCTGACCGACATCTGACGATTAGACTAAACGAGGGAATAGAAAAACAAGGAATCGTGGAAACCATAAAAGCGTTCATATATAGTTGAGATCGCACACGCTATCAATTAGACGATTAGGTTAGAAGGAAATATACATCACGATTAGGCGAACAGAAGAGCAGGTGAGTGAGCGGTTGGGCAATTAGGCGGGTAACATTGCATACGTATCGATCGGTTCACTTAGCCCACTGGCCGATGTCAGACTTTGCGATTGGAGCGATTTTGCACCAATTGCAGGAGCGACGGATCGCTTGAGCGATGCGAGCGACGGGAGATTTACACCGCCGAATACCGATACACACGGCGCCGCTCGGGTAAATCTCCCGTCGCTCGCATCGCTTGAGCGATCCGTCGCTCCTGCAATTGGTGCAAAATCGCTCCAATCGCAAAGTCTGACATCGGCCACTGAGGGGTGCAATCGATACGCATTCTTTTCATCTGAGGCCGATGTCAGACTTTGCGAATCCAGCTCGATTCGCTGGTGCAACGCTCGTATCCAGCGATTCGCTGGATTCCAAAGTCTGACATCGGCCTGACCGTGGCATCGTGAACTCTGAACAATACCTGAAGGCCCTGCGAATAGGTTGAGCGACCTTGTTCACCGAGCGCTTAGAGAAAATTAGCGAACCGTAAAGACCGCAAATCCGCTGGGAGGATACAAGTGTTGCTCAGTCCTTCGAAAAATGACTCTATCCTTGTTTTCCTACTTTCGTTTTCTTGTGATACCCACAATACAGAGTTGTTTATTTTATTCAGCTGACTTCATTTTCTTCCACACGCCATTGCCGGCAAGCTGTTAACTGGGCTATATAGATGATGGTTAGCTGATCGAGGATGATCAACATGTTCTAAACCGCGAACGCGAAACACTAAAATGTTTTTCTTTTTCTCGAATTTTCTGGAAAAAATCAGTGGAAATCCGCAATCATCAATACTTTTCCACGTTTCCTGCTGATTTGGGAAACAAAAACTAAACATATGCTACTGATCTCCTTTCTGTTGTAATCGGGACTAAGCCCAGGCAAGGGAGAGTGATTTCAACTGGCGCGAATACTTTTCAGCGTCCCCCAAGTTCCTACCCTGCTACTGATAGAGGATTGCCCCATCACTTCTAACATTTGGCGCTGACGTCATCGGATGGATGCGATCGTTGTGCGGGACTAAAGCCTTAAAGAAGAGGAGAGGAAACATCGTGAAACTAGTCGAGAGTTGCTAACACCTCTTCTTAATAGCCTCTTAATACCTCGATGACAGTAGCGCCTAAATTTCCCTACAATTAACCTACTACTCCGCGTTGCTCCCAAACTAAATAATCAAGATCTGGCGTTATTGCATGTTTCGCTTCTTTCAAGGTTCTTTAGGTGCGATGTTTTACTTTCTGATTGAACCTATTAAGCTGACCGCGCCACGACAGCCAGTATCAATGACAACAACATCATCAGAAAATGCTGGTTTCAAGTATGAGGTGGACTCAGGACTTCATAAGGGAACGTTAAATTAGTCACAATAGAATGGTAAAGGAGGCTTTGGAAGACTATAAGAAAAGCACTTCCATATAAAGCTTCTTGGAAGAGGCGTATGAAGGATAGCAAACGACCTTAGCCAACACTATCTGGAACGACTTCTACGTTCGCCAAACCAAGATGTGAACTGATTACAAAACCAGGCTAGGGGAATTAAACTTCCATTAGGCATGTTTAAATCCAATTTTTTTTTTTTCAGGGGAAATTTTGGGGGAAATGAAAACAAGAAAAGAGTGAGTCATTCGACTAAACATTCAAATGATCAGAGAATCGGGCACGAACCTTGGCGAGGCGCGCCAATCGATACGCCTGACGTTCGATCGAGGGCACTACTACTCAATGAATTTAGAAGTTCCAGCATGCGTTCAACAACCGCTCCACGGCGAGGGTGGTGTGAAATGGAAGGAACGTGAAAGCATGAAGGACCACGATGGAGGAGGCGGGAAACTTCGCAATGATCACAGCCGTAACGCGATGATGCCGTCATTCTTTGTTGGGGCATGAATTCCGCCGTCAAACCCGCAGCTGCGTCGCGGTCTTCGTATTGAAGCGCGTTATGTCCACAAACCTCACGGGGCGCCAACTCTCCCTTTGAGGCCACACCACCAAGATTAGCCCTGGCACAAGTGCTATCACACCAGACATTCGGGATTATACTTTCAAATCCACGGCAAGTATTTCCATTTTGTAAGATCTATGCTTAGGGTGAAACTCGAGTGGTTGGGGGTGAGGGGGGGGGGGACGGGCCACCAAGATTGGCAGCGGCCTGTTCTTCGATTCTGCTCTATTCAAGTCGATCTTGGGCGCGTATTTTAAACTGCCACATACGCGCACAAGAGTAAAAACTTGTGCTAGATGGACATAACCGTGGAAGCAGCAGATGAAACATCGAGCGCCTGCGCCATCGCGTGCTGCGCCCCCTCCCCCGAGTTTCACCCAGGCTTGCCCTCTCGTTCCCGCTTCGTTGCACGTGAGCCAAAGATTTATTAATGAAGCCCTGGCGAAATCGCGAAATTTCTCTACAAATCGTTGTGAGGTTAAAAATTGCCTATGATAGATTACATGAGTGTCGCCTGATGCGCCTCCCCTCCCTTACGCCGTGGGACACGTCCCCCTAGCCTGATTGCGAATTGAGGCAGATACAAGATGTACGTAAACATGTGTTTACACCGGCAATGAAGAGAACTAATCACTGAAGCGGGAAAATTCTCAGATTGTGGTTCGTCTCACGAGGGAAGGTTTGTGACGTACTCACACGTAAATCCACAAAGCCTCACAAGCCCACAGGCGTTCAACGCCGTGCGTTGCGCAAATTTCAAAATATGTTTACTACCTTCTCCCTTTCCGAAGGGGTATCAGCACGACCCCCGTGGTTGAAATCGTGTCAGTCAGTGCACGTCGCAGGCGCCTCCGGTCTGCCCCAAAAGGCTTAATCAGACGGGTCTACGGACACTTGAACTCGGTCCTTTAAGCGCTTCGATTGATGCCTTCGCCTGCGCTCTCTCGCCTGAACAGCGGCTTATGGTTACTGTGATCTGATGCATTCAAATTTTGCCCACAATATGATTGACACACCCACTCCAGAGCCCCTCCTCTCTCCAAGGCTTAGTCCTAGGGCTCACACCTTACTGCTTGAGATTTGGAGCCGAGCCAGGCGCCGTTCTCTAATCGTCTGTGCTCTGGCGTTTCGCGGCAGAGAACACAGGGGCGAGTTCAAGTAGTCACGTTATTGTATGCGTCGTCGCGAGTACTTTGAGAAACTGTCAATAAGGCAGGAGTAACCGTCCCTGTGCGACGTAAAGGGCCCGTGGAGCAGCGAAGCAGAGCGGCGCAAGCCACCCGGCGTTACAGTGGCTTCTGATCGAACAAAAGGTGTCGAGAGCGGAAGCTGGAAAAGTACACACTTTGTGTCTTATTGGGACTAAGCCTTTTGAATAGCGATAAAGAAAGAGGAGATGCTGTGACAGTGTGCACTTGTGAGAGCTTCCAGACATCACTACAAAACGCTGAACCTCAAAGGCTCACGGTGGACAGATGTCCTGAGACCGCATCATCGCGTGGCCCGCCGAACCCGAGTTTCACCCCACCACTCCTGTATTAGTTATTCATGTCTTTTTCATACTTTTATGCCCATCATCGATGTATGGGCCGTCACTGACATGGAAAGCTGCCTGGCAGTGAGAGTATTCGCGCTGCTTGTGCTGTCCGCTCGGATGACTTCGAATAGCATACATTATGCCGAAGTTATATTTAAAGG